CAGATTGGAACAAATATCCATCACAGCATTTATGTTTTTCACATTGTAGCTTTGAAAACTGACAGTTACAATGAATTCCTTAAAAATGCAATACTTTTACCAACGCTTGGAAGAACCATAAACAATCTTCTACAAGATATTAAAACTGGAAACACAGACCTGCTCTACCCAGTACGCAAGGCAGGGCTTTCATGAACACCATTCCAGTAACACATTATTATCAAATGTTTCATAATATTTTGACCAGAGTGTATAAACCAAAAAAGCACCAAAATTAGGCAAGCAAATATCACTCTCTTTATAATTCACTGAAAATTTTCGTAAATGATAAAAACAAAACCATAATTTACGAGGGGGGCGCTTTGAAAAATATACCAAAGTTTCTCAAGGTGCCATTTGTGCTGAAGACATTTTCTATTTGTAGCTGAATGCTGTTTTGTGGGATTGGTATAACACCTCCATAAGGAAAATTAACACGTAACTTTAGAGTTATATTCTCAAAGGCCTAGAATAAGATAACGGGAATGTTAACAAGGGGTCCAACAAAAAGAAGGCTGGTGGATAAACAAAAGGACACACTTTCTAAAAGGCATGAATTTTCCCCTAATGGCTCTCCAATGCCAATTATCCTCACGCCCCTCCCCTTCTGAGGACACACACTGGTCATACCGGTGTATTTGGAAACTCAAAGTAATAGCTCAGTGATTTATGCACCACTCTGCCCCCCATGGAGTGAACAGCTCAAATCCCTGCCTCCAGGACGACCCTTACCTGGGGATGGAATGCTCATTACTTAAGTCATGTGCTCCGCAGGCAGTCGACAGAGGTGAGGAGAGCTAGAGAAGACGACAACGTCCCCCCCTAGCACTTCACCACAGACAGAATGGCAAGTTTGCCTTTTGGACAAAAGAACAATGAGCATCTTGTGCACCCTCAAATGTACGCAGGCGGCACTCCCGATACCTGCGCTTGACAGGTGGACGCCGCGGGCAGGGAGGCCGCACCCGCCCGGTCCCGCACCTGCCAGAAGCCCCCCCACGTTCCTGCACCGCCGGGCGACGCGGCCGCCCCACTGCCCCGCGATTCCGGGTCCGCCGCCCCCATCGCGCCCCGGCCCACGCCTCTGGCCCGCCCGCCGCCGCTCACCAGGTACTTGCCGTCGGGGGAGAACTTGCAGAGCAGGCCGGAGAGCTTGAACACCTCGGAGAAGTTCATGGCCGCCACGGCTCGCGAAAGGCCGCAGGGACCGCTCCGCGCCGCCGCAGGCCACAACTGCCGCCGCCGGCCTCCGCGGCCGGAAGTCAGCGAAAGCGGAAGCGAGCCGCAGCCTATCAGCGCCGCGGGAGGCCGCGCGGCATTGTGGGGCTTGTAGTTCTCCCGCCCACGCCGTCGCGCTTTAAAGGAGACACCACGTTTCTTCCCACGCGGGATTTCAGGACAGTCCCCAAGGGACAAGGAGCCTCGGGGTCTCTTCCAGCTAGGGCTGCAAATAAAATACAAGGCGCACAGTTAAATTTGAATTTCGGATAAGCAACAAATCGTTTTCCAGTATAAGTATGTTCCCAAATATTGTGGGGGACGCATTGATAGGGAACGATTATTCCCTTATCTGAAATTCGAATTTAACTGGGCGACCTGTGTGTGTGTGTATCCGTACACATTTGTTTATATGTACATGTAAATAATGCCATGGTGAATTTATATTTATACATATATAAATACATATTTAATATGTAATGTAGTGTCGTTTACGTATGTTACACTGTATACATAATCTACAAATAAATATTTGTTTTGTGTGTTTGTTTTTGCTAAGTCGGGCAACCCTGCCCGCCGCCCGACCCTCACGTCTCGCTCCAGCGCCACTTATATCGGGAGAGACCGGGCAGCTTTAGCGCGGGGAACGCGCGCACTCGCCTGTCCCTTCCAAGCGCGCACCGGGCCCTGCGCCCGCGCCAAGGGCGGCTCCGGGGCGGGGACCCGAGGGCCCAGCTCCGCACAGGTGGGAGCGAGCACCTGCGCGGGCGCTCGGCTCCGAAGCCCTCGCTCGCTCTCCAGGGCGTGCCTTGTCCCCTCGCCCCCTCTTCCCCGATGGCAGCCTCCTGCACTCCCGCGCCCACGCGGGCCCTTAGCCGTCCCTCCACAGCCCACAGGACCGAGCACACCCCGACACCCCCGCCCAGCCCTGCGTCCTGAGAGCTGAGACCCGGCCTGGGTCCTGCTCGCACCTCCCAGCGCCCAGCCCCGGCCGGACCTGCTCCCCACGAACGCCTCTAACCTCCCCAACGAACGGGTGGGGGTGCGTGCACGCAACCTGCTCGGGCGGGGCCGACTTTTTCTGCCCTCAATTAGACCCAAATCCTGCGTGGGATTCGTCCTTGTGTCCTCACTCCCGCGCCTAGCAAACAGTAGGTGAGCAATAAAGGTGTATGTAAGTCTGCCAGGAGCGCCAGGGCAGGTGCGAACCCCGTTCGACCAGAGAACCTGGGCTGCATCAGCTCGGCTCGCTCGCGATGCCACGGACGACACTGACGCCATCTTCCAAGGCGTGGGTGTCTACACAGGCAGGGGTCATCGGTTTGGAGCCAGATAATGGGTCCCACAAGCGTCAGACGGCAGCGCATGGTAGGTGCCCGCCGCCCAGAGCCGCTCGTACTCGCCCTGTGTTCGGGGATGAGGGCCCCGAGGCCCCGCCGGCCCTGCAGAGGAGCAAGCGCGTGGGGCTGCAGGTGCAGCCGGCCGGAGGGCATCTGTGCGCTCAGAGAGCAATTCCAAACGCTTGGACACCGCGCGCACCTTCGCTAACACCGAACAGAATCTTGCTCCCGGGGCCAGAGGCTACGGGCGGAGGAGGGAGCGGGGCGCGGGGCGCGGCCAGCAGTGGTCGAGTGCCCGAGTTACTCCCTGAAGGCTGCGGGGCACAACCTCCGGCTGGGGTCAGAAGAGTAGCACCCAGAGGGTCTCCGCAGGATCCTCTCTGCCTGGCGGGGCCCAGGGTCGGCCGCGACCTCGCTCGTCGGGCACAGTGGGTGGCGAGCCCTGCTGGGCGGCTGCTAGCTGTCCTCCTCCTCCCCGCCCTGAGGCCGCATCTCTCACCCGTTTCCCGCCGGCGACAGCCAGGGCGCAAGGCGCGGCACTCCCAGTGCGCCTTGGATCCCAAGCGAGCGCCCTCGTGCAGGGACTCCGAGCCAGTGGGGGCGGCCGGGGGAGCCCAGGGTCGAGGAGACGGGGCGTCTGGAGAGAGGAGCACCGGGAAACGAAGGCGTCGGGGCGCGGAGTCCGCAGCAGGGCCCGGCTCTCGGCTTCCGCGCGCCCTGGCCGGAGCCCCCAACCTGCGGACGGTCGCGGTCCGGTCTTGCCAGCGTGGGGGCCCCGGCGCCCCGCCCGCGTCCAGCCCTGCGTAGGCGACCTGGACTGGGCCTGGCCTGGGCGACGCGCGCCAAACCGCGGCGGGAAGGAGGCGGGGCGGGCGCTCCCAGGACCCCGACTCCGACGCGGCCAGCTGGGGGGGCGGAGCGCGGAGGAGACCTTGGCCCCCGCCCGGCTCGGCTGCCAGCCCTTCTCCCGCCCTCCTCCTGCCGCTGCCGAGCGGCCCGCGCTGCCTTCCCGCCCGCCTGGCTGTAAAGGCGCTAACGCCCGCAGCCGCCCCCCTCCCCGCGGCGCCTCCCATCCCCGCGCCCATATAACCCGCCTCAGGGCCGCCCGCCCTGCCTCCCGCCCGCGGCCGCCAGTCCGCACCGCCTCTGGGCCCGCGCCTCCAGCGCCCGCCGTGCGCCCACGAAGGGGGTCCGCGGTGAACCGGGGCCAGCGCCAGGTGGGCTCGGGCCGACGCCGATGCTGTGGGCCGCGATGGCACCAGGTAGGCAGCGCAGGAACCGACGCGAGGGGGCCGGGGCGCGGTGCGACTAGGTTTGCTGAGCCCAGAGCTCAGGGTGGCTGACCCCCGGGTTTGCGGCTCCGAAGCTGGGAGTTGAGCGGGGGTCGGGAGCAGATTGGGCACGAGCTGAGGAACGGGGACGCGGGGGCTCTCTCGGAGTTCGATTGGCCCCCGGGACCTGCGGGGGGTCAGGGAGCGGCTGGAGCCGAGGCCCACGAGGAGTCTCCGGGTCCTGCCGTCAGTGCGCGCAGCTCTTGGTGCCAAGAGCAGCCCCGCGGGGGTTCCGTGAGGGCCTTCCTCCTGCTAACCCATCTGCACCCCAGCTTCCGAGGGTAGTTTGGAACACGACGGGAAGAGGCCAGGTCGCGGGGTGCGGGTACAGGTGGAAGGAGCCGATAAGCTCCGCCCCGTCCGCGCCCACTCCCTGCGCACCCAGAAGGCCCTTCCCAATCCCCTGACTCCTTGTGAGGTTGAGGGAGACCCAGGTCATGGTGGGGAGAACCAACCGAGCAGGACCCATGGAGCGGGTTGCAACGGTTCCCAGGGGGGCAACTCCCTGTGGCTCTGAGTTTGTCGGGTGCCTGGCCTGTCTCCCAGTCTGTTCCAGGTAGAGGATCCAGGAGGTGAATCAGGCCAGGTGGCCGCCGGGGCAACTCTGCCACCCCTCTCTTGGCCCTCCTCACCCTGCGGCACTTCCTTTAAGCTGTTTGGACTGGGGGGAGCTATTATTACCTTCTTACTCAGCTTGTATTTTTGTCTGGTCACTAAGGGCTAAGCACACATAGTGTGCACATGTCTACATAGATAGATGGGGGACAGGTAGACCACCCTCCACCAGCAAGCGGCGGTGGAGAACCTGCGGCCTCAAGGGCACATGTGGCCTCCAGATCCCCTCCGCCGAATCCAAACTTCACAGAACAAATTCCTTTATTATTTATTCATTATTAAACAGATTTGTTCTGTAAAATTTGGATTGGGCCAACGGTCCGCACTCAAGGATTCAGAAGGCATCCCTAACTTCTGACCAGGGGTCATTCGTTTCCAAATGTGCTACAGTCCACTGACCAGACAATCGGGAACTGTTGGGCTCATTAGCTCAATGTTTTGGTTTTTGTCGTTTGGGTTTCTTGTTGCCATCATTGCCTTTGTTTGTTTAGCCTTAAAATTAGCTTTGGGGGAACTGAGTAAAGCGAAACAAAACGCAAGGCTCTTTGGTGCTTACTGAGAGGTGAGCCACCCATCTTTTGATTTATTCAGTAAAAGATAAAAAAGCATTGCATTGAGACTGAAAGGACAGAATGTTTGACATTTTGCAACATGAATTTATGGCTTGTTAATGTAATTTTAAAAATCAGATTAAAAGTTGGGCACCAGAGGCTGCGGTCAGGGGCTGCCTGAGGTGTGCTGAAGGTGGGCCTGGGCAGGGGCTGCCCAGTAGTGAGGGCTCCTGTGGAATGGCCAGCGATGCTCTACCCCACCCTTTGGTTCTTCTGGCCAAGGCTACGGGGGATGGGCAGCCCCAGGGACAGTGGTCAGTCGGGTAGATGTAGAAGTGAGAATGCTGGGGTTCATATCCCCCCTTCTCCACTTACTAGGCAAGGACCGCTAGCAAACCACTTAACTACTTGGAGCCTCAATTTGCCCATCTGCAAAGTAGGGCAGTAACAGTTCCTGCCTCAGGGTTGGGGGGGACAATGAGGTGCCATATCAAGAGTGCTTAAGAGTGCCCGGCACCACTCAGTGGCCTCAGGCTCTATGGCTGCTGGTCCTAGGTGCTGCCCCAGAGTGGGGAGAGCCGGGAGCCCTGGGGTAGTCCGTAAGTCTCCCCAGAGGGGAAGGGATGGCACCGAGGCCGGAATCTGCCCTCGGCTCGGGTGGAGGCTGATGGCATCTGTCAGGGGTATGTGCTGTGGCCAGGATGCCTCGGTTTGGGATTTATTTATAGAGCATGCCCCACCCAGGCCCAGGAATGGGTTTGTGACATTGAACACATGTAAAGGGGCACAGCTAAAATAGAGCGGAGAGGAGCAGCCGAGACAGCAGGGACACACTCCAGCACCTGGAGGAGGCCTCCCTGTGCCCAGGGACAGCGGCAGCGCTGAGATCCTGTGCGCCAAAAGTGACATCGCATATGTGGTGAACCTTGGGATTGCAAAAAATCAGGAAAATTCTTCAAAGCGTCCTTTAAGCGTGTGTTGCTTCCAACGAGCCGGCGTTTCATGGCACGCCTTCATTTTCCCATTCGGCAAAGGCTAAGTCAGTATTTGTAAGTACCTGCATGGTACTTCCCTGCGTCAGCTTCAGCAGCAAAGAAGAAAAAAGGCGTTGAGATGTGTGGTTAATGACACTGACTCCTAGTTCCCTTTTAATTCAAAT